TTTTTGTCCTGCAAAAAATACAGCTTCTAAATATCACCTGGGGGTGATGTGGATTCTTAAAAAAACATTGAGGGGGGCACAAATTACCTGTTGCTAGAGGAGACGGGGGCAGAGAATTGCAAGGCAGAGAAGAGGAGAGGACAGGAAACAATTATTTCATAAATATCCTTACAGTGATTTTTCTTAGGACCCAAAGCTTATGGTAAGGTAGTCATTCTGCAAAGATACTACCATCTAAGAGAAAGCTTTGGAGTGTGTCAACACCAGTATGGACATATGAGTTCTGATTCTACCAACTTTGCCAGATACAGTGGACTACATACCCCATCATGGGTTGAATTTGGAGAAGATGAGAGCAGGAATTTTCTTTCTGACTTGCTTTGAAGAAGCAACTGACTTGGTTCTGAAGGTGTTATGAAGTTCATTATATGGTTTTGATGAAATTAAAGTGGGGGAGAGAGGAAAAAACAGGACAAAATATTGTACTTTAAAGACTAGCAGATTTATTTCAGAGTGAGCTTTCATGGATCAAAACCCATTCTTCAGGCACCTTCAGGCAGTCTGAAGAAATTTATTTTGATCCATGAAAGTTAACACTGAAATAAATTAGTTAAAATTGAAACAATATTTTATCTTCTGTTTCTTTCCCTTTTCCCTTTAAAATTTGGCGACATGCTAAACCAGACTACAGCATTTCTCTAGAAATGTCATGATATTCTGTCATGTACAGATAAAATCATTGACAGGTTGTGATGCTTCTTGGATTTCCCTTCAAAGTCTCACACTTCTGAAATGGATCAAAGCAACATTATTTCAGAGTGAGCTTTCATGGATCAAACCCCATTCTTCAGACACCTTCAGGCAGGTTGTGATGTTTCTTGGATTTCCCTTCAAAGTCTCACAATTCTGAAATGGATCAAAGCAACGGGGCTGGGAGGGAGGAGACCTGCTTTTTAAAGGAATTCTTACTACTAATGCTAAAGCTGTCAGACAATCCCCGGGGGCACGTCTATACCAATGGCACCATTGCTTTGCTTTGCTTTGCTGGTACTCTGGTTTCTTGGATTTCCCTTCAAAGTCTCACACTTCTGAAATGGATCAAAGCAACAGGGCTGGGAGGGAGGAGACCTGCTTTTTAAAGGAATTCTTACTACTAATGCTAAAGCTGTCAGACAATCCCTGGGGGCATGTCTATACCAATGGCAACATTGCTTTGCTTTGCTGGTACTCTGATTTACATTAAATCTGGTTCATCTGATCTTCTCCTGTAGCCTCATAATAACGATGAGTTCCACTTTCCTCCGCTAGATTGTCTTTTGCTTTTCATTCCCTCAGGAGAAATGTACACACACATTCTCAAATGTAACTGTAATTAATACAAGAGATTGCCTTGTACTGAATTAGACCATTGGCCCATTTAACCTACCACTGTTGACACTGGCAATGGCTCACCAAGGCTTCAGGAAGGAAGTTTTTCATCCCTACCTGAAGATGACTTGTACCTGGAGCCTGTTACATACAACCCATGTGTTTGCCATTGAACTCCAGCCTCAACCCAAATGACCAGGTTTTGTCCCTTCTTCTTATCCTCACTTTATGTTGCCTTCTTTTTCACTATACATGCTGACAGAAGTGAAAGCCCAACAAGGACCAAAATATACATTAAAGGAAGTCCAAAATCAGAAGCTGGAAATCTATCGGTATTCCAGAGAAGTGACTTCTAGCAGATCATTGCTCATGATTGAACAGTCATACTTAAAAACAAAGTCTGTGTTTAGGTCCAGAGAAGCAGTCACAAAACAAAGCAAGTCAGTTTGCAAACTATGGGAGATGGGGAAAGCTCCTGCTGTGACAATCAGATATTCTTGGCACATAAGGAGTTCCTTTTTCTAATCACAGACTATCTGTAGCCTATAGATTGGCCCTTGAATTCACAAAAGCCCTGTTCAGGCATTAACATTCATTTACAGTATGGTGGCAAGGAAGGCTTTCCTTTCCATTGTCATTTCTGTCATCCTCCTACACATGGAATACAGCAAGGCTGAATGGGGGAACTTCCACTATCCATGGAGGCTCAACCACATGAGTTTGAATCCTGATAGCAAGGAAACAAAAGCAGAAATATAGGAGAATGAGGCTAGAGTGCTCTCCTTGCTCAAACAATAAACATGCACAAATGCTTAGGACTGAATAAATATTATAGATGGGCTGTGACTGTGAATAGAGAAGCCAGGATATAATTCCATTAACACAAGGAGTTAGTGGTACCTCATAATGCATTTTTCTTTCTTTTTTTTGGTAGAGAAAGAACTCAAGATAACAGTGGAACAGCTGGGAGATGATGCAAGGTCAGAGCAGGGTTAATACAGATATTTTGTTCATGTATGCCTGCAGAATTTAGGAAGGTTTTGTTTTAAAAAAACATGATATAATTTGCTGCAGCCGCAGCAATAATTCATTGTCATTAACACAGCACATTATTTATAAAGTTACTGATTCTGATACCGCACTTGTTGCTTTTTAGTTGCCTTCTTTATTCCCATCTAAAATGTAAGAAGCTTGCCTAAAACTCAGGGGGAACATACCCTTCCAAATGTCCCCCTAAACATCTTTGTCCCCCCCAAATAAGAAGACTAAAAGTGAATGTTACACACTATGAAAAAAATCTAATGATAAAACATAAACACGTATTTCATTATCTTTTAAAAGAATCATCTTCAGTATCTCAAAAAGTTATACTCTGTACGTAACATTGCTCATTATTGTAACTCATTATTTTCATGCTCTGCATAATTGTGTTACATAAAAGTACACTGTTCTCCCTGATACCTTTCAGATCTTTTGGGATACAGTGTTTTGCAGTTAAACTGGAAATAGAAGAAATGGAAGAAAGCAAGGACTTCTGCCGTGCTAATACGGTCAACAATGCAGCTAGGTTATGACAGTCTTTTGGGAGTGGGGGAGCTTCAGCCCACAAAATGCTTTGGAGGAAGAAAAGGAAAAAAAAAAAGAAGAAGAAGGCTGCTCCAGTGACTATAGGCTGGAAAAGTCCATGCTAGCTGGAGGATTCTAGGAGATGTAAAGTAATTTTCCCAAGCACTTTCAGAAGTGGCAGATCTCAAATGCCTGTGCCAGTCCAGAAGCCATTTGCCTCTGTTTGCACCACCTTCCACTAGGCCAGCAATTCCCAAACTTGGGCCTCCTAATGTTCTTGTACTAAAACTCACCAAAACCTTCACCACTATCTGTGCTGGCCAGGATTTCTAGGAGTTGTAGTCCAAGAACATCTAGGGACCCAAAGTTAGGAACCACTGGTCTCGGTCAAGAATGGGCAACATGTAGCTCTGCAAATGTTGTACCCACCCACCATCCCCATCTATTGGCTAGACTAACCTGAGCTGACAGGGCTTGTAGTTGAAGAACATCTGGAAGGTCACTTGATTGCCACCTTTGTTCTCAGCAGTAATTTGAGGAGAGTGCTAGGCTTAGACCTTGAGGGCCAATCCCAGATGTGCAGTTAAACAGCAGGAATCCCACTGTGCTGGTTGCTTCTCTTGTGTTTGTTCCAGAGTTGCCATTTATAGTACAGGATTGCAAAATACCTGGATTCTGAGTGTGGGTGCTCTTTCCCACACTATTGATAATTCTTTACTTGTCCGTGTGTGCCATAAATGCTGGAGGGGAAAGGAGTCCTTCTATAAAATGGCACAGTGTCAAATGTGGGAACACAGGATCCTGCGTTGCTTACGTTGATTCTGCAGATATGTAGATATCAATGAAACATGAACTAGATGGGCACATCGGCTCAATACTGAGTGACAGTAAACCATCAGTAGGTAGAAAAGACCACCAGAGATCCCCACCCTGTCCATAAAAGCTGGAGTGCAAGCAGATCCTGAACCAAGAGACATGGAGCTGTTCAGGGATGCCAAAGGAGCAGGGTGCCAGTATACACAGAGCTTCAAAGCGTTGTGGGGAACATATGGCAGGGTAGACTACATGCACAAATGCTTAGGACTGAATAAATATTATAGATGGGCTGTGACTGTGAATAGAGGAGCCTGTCCAGATGTGCAGACTCCCCATAATCCTTCACCATTGGCTATACTGACTAGGCCTGTGAGAGATTTAGGCAAAAATAAAAATAAAAAAACAATCTAGGCAGCCATCGTGGGCCACACCTAATGTACAGATTGATTGGACAACACCAGTCTAGATTCCAGTTTTGGCCATAAAACAGTCTTTTTTGGTACCTACACCAGAATGAAACAGAATATATGAGGTTTGAGAATTTAGCAAAATTCTACATGTTTTTACTAACTTCGTTTTTAGAAAAATCAGTAGAGAGTTGGGTTCTTGATAACCTTCACACATACAGTAAAAGGAATTTGTTTTATTACTCGCCTCCTAGCAGCTGACCAAACCAACTCTCCCTAGGGCAACATGACTCCTTTCAGTTTTATTTCAAATGTATTCAACCTGAAATAAATCCTCTGCAAGGCTCTAGAAAACATTTTCTTCAGAGTAACTGGTTTTGATCCCTTTTATTAAATCTGCAAATCAGGCAGATTTGCAGGTTGAAAAAAAGAAAGAAAGAAAGACTAAGAAGCATCCCTCTTTTTTTGGGGGGGGGTGAAAGTCGTGTCAGAAGGTTCTTTTAGAACTGTCCACCGCAGGTGAGGGCTGGTGCTCCTTACAGCTGGACAGGAGTACTAATAGCTGCAGAGTGCACCAGTGCTGCTGCTGGGAGGTATCTGGCACTGGTTCTCACCAGACTGTCACTCTCAGGCCAGCCCCTACAATTTCTGCTGACCAGATTGGCCTTTATCATGAGATCATGTCTTTCCAGAGAAATCCCACTAATGCCTTCATTCTGTGAAAGCAGTATATATAGAGGGAAACTGCCTGCAACGCCACTGTGCAGTCCAGCAAGGACCTCCCTGTCACCCGAGTGACTGTGCTCTCTCTCTCCTTTCCACCACCAAGCTCCACAGCAGCAAAGACCATGGATATTACCATTCAGCACCCCTGGTTCAAACGTGCTCTTGGACCTTTTATTCCAAGCCGTTTGTTTGACCAGTTTTTTGGAGAAGGCCTTTATGAATATGATCTCCTGCCTTGGTTTTCCTCTACCATCAGCCCATACTACAGGCAATCGTTCTTCCGCAGTTTTCTGGAGTCTGGCGTTTCTGAGGTAGGAGTCTGAATCCATTTAAACTTTTAAAACCCTCTTTGCAATGCACAATAACAGAACCCTAGGTAGGCTTCGTGATATATTCTCTCTATGTTCTGTCAGCCCTTAATTTAATATGACCAAGATGCCAAAAAAACAAAACAAAACAAAAACACACAAAACACTACCAAGAAAATCTAGGTATTAAAAAAAAAGTCAATTGGATTTCAAGCATCTTGCTATTGGAGTTTAAAAGACCGAAACAGTATACATATACTGTATTTCTAATGTACTTAAACATTTGATAAATATTTAAATGGATAGTGTATGCCATATGCTTAGGTAAACGTAGATTTCTTTGTGAGTTACATTTGCATTCAAATGGCAAGGTGTGTGCGTTCATATATATTGTTTAAAATATATGTATAAATTCACATTTAAACATCTGGCTCCCTTTAAACCACTAAAAAGAAAGCATCCTATGTGTCATTTGGTTGCTTTTTGGAAATAGCAATTTGCTAGTTAGCTATGAAGAGGCAGTGTTATGACTCAGACTATATGTTCAGTACAAGCAGATCTGAGATGTTAGCCTCTCAGTGGCATCTCAGGTCTGCTGTTCAATACGGTATTCTTAAAACATATTTTAGGAATTGTTTAGAAATATGGTGTGGACACCACAAGTGAAAAGTGGTGGCAACTTTTAAAAGTCAGTCATAAACTTAAAAGTTACAGCAACATTCTGATGTGTATGTTTTTCAGATCATCATGGAAAAGCAGGGGTGGTTGATAACTATTTCTGATTTCCCTTCATATTGCTGGACACAAAGAAATCTGTTAAAAATAGCTGATGAATGTGGAGGAGAAGCAGAATAGTGCAGGAAGCATGGTGTGAAATGAAGATTAGTCATAAAGCAAACAGCTTTTAAGCAAGGATTCTTATTGGATCCTTAATGTATATCAGCATCCATAAACTTATCAATCTGTAGTACTTAGAATTAAGCCAGTTCTCATCCTCAAATCACACTTCCTGAACTGATACAACTAGATCTGTTTTTTAAAAAGTAGTAGCCCCAACTGCAGGGGGGGCGGGTAAACTCCAGACTGATTTGCATTTCCTTTCGCATCATGTGGTCAACGGGGGCGGGGGAAATGCAATCAGCCCATCCCAATCGCAGAGCATTTTCTGTATTTTTTTTTATCAGTGTGGTCACACCCTAAGTACACTACAAGTAAAGTAGCTTCAACTGATGTACTTTAGGTGCTTCCAGACAGGCAGCTCCTGCGGTACCAATCAGAGACATTGGGCAGCTAATCTCCCTTTCCCTCTTAATGGAACTTTTGTTGAAAGAGAAAAGATAGAAAAAAGAGGAAAGATACAAGTGAAAAGCAATGCCTTCTGGATGCACTGTTCCTTGAATCAGGGCAATTGCACCACAAAAACTTGTCTGAAAAAAACAAACAAATATGAATTTGAAATTTTAATTTTTTGGTGGTGGTGGGGTCTTATAATTTCATTTTCAGGTGAGATCTGACCGGGACAAGTTTACAATCTTTTTGGATGTAAAACACTTCTCCCCTGAAGATTTGAGTGTGAAGGTCATTGAAGACTTTGTGGAAATTCATGGCAAACATAATGAGAGACAGGTAAGAGGAAAGCGCAAATAAATGGCAAATTACTTGCGTGACATGCAAAATAATGTTTGTTCCCTTAACATTTGCTAGTGGACTGTCATCTAATTCAAGAGGGAAATCATTCCCTGACACATCAGGGCAAACAGTTCTCCTCATTGCTTAGCCTTGTAGTATTACTAGCTGTCAAGTAAAAGATGTATATATCTGTTTAAGCCAAGATCAGATGACTCTTCATGTCAGGGCCAGTACTAATGGATAGAAATTAGAGAGAAATAGCTTGCAGTTAAACATTAGCATACACAGCTACAATAGTGGAAAAGATTTCTTCAAGAAGTATTGGGATTTCCTGTGTGGGATCCAGATGCACAGGATCCCTGTCTGGGATGCTATTAATTGCATCCTTTATTTCAAATTCTGCATTGAATAGGGAGGTGGTTCAGATATTTCTAATTCTTTCAGTCCTTAGGATTTTTGTGTGTGTGTGTGTGTTTGTTTTTCTTTTTTAAAAAGCTTTTATTGTAGTATGTACTCTGTGGGATTCAGATGACAGTGGGAATATCTGGACAATGATTTTTGAGCACATAAAAATGTAGTCTGAAGAAAAGGCAAGCTTTGTGCGTCCATGGATGCAAGAAAAGCTTTGTGTTTTCATAGATCTGAAAAAAGCATAATCTACTATATTGGTCCAAATGGAGCAAAATCCAAAATTTACAGTAGAGTAGAAGCTTTATTCACTGGCTGGACTCAGTGAGTTGGGTATCTGGCTGTGGAGCCAGAGGCTGGGAGTTCGATTCCCCACTGTGCATCCCAAAAGAGTCAGCTGCTGTGACCTTGGGCAAGATGCACAGTCCAAGGGTGCCCCCCAGAAGAAGGGAAGGGTAAACTACTTCTGGGTACTCCCCACCTAGAAAACCCTGTAAAGGTTTGCCGTGTCAGAATTGACTTGATGGCACGTGGTTTTTATTAGAGGCTTTATTATGACCAACTAAAATTTCATGAAACAAGGAGTAAAGGTTCAATCTTCATGAGGTTAAGTAAGGCTTGAACAAGGTTGGGGGTGACAGAGAGCAAAAGTGGCCTTAATGGGGAAGACTTGTCACCTTTCAGGGCTTAGCCTCTGCTAGGTGCTCATTGCATCGAGTCACACCAAAGGCTGTTAGAGAAAGAAACCATCAAAGAGAGAGGGAAAAATACATATACAGTATTGTATTATTTGAATTATGTTTTAAGCTCAGTGAGCAAAACACGACTTCCTTTGAGGCAGAAGAGAGAGAAGGAAAAAAGAGTAAGATTGTCTGATAGGCAAACCACACATGAACCCAAATGTATAATTCCTGAGTGCAGGTTTTCCCTTAATCTATTGTCAGTGTGTGCCCCAACATCCGGACTGGGAACCAAGCATGGTGAGTAGACAATTTTAATTATATTTTATTTATTTTATTTATTTTATTTATATGCCGCCCACACTATCCAAAGGTCTCTGGGCGGCTTACAACATTTAAAATACAGTAAAAATTCAGAACAATTAAAATGCAATTAAAATATATATACAAATTGCCATCGGACCCACAGCTAATATTATTTCAATTAAAAGCCTTCTGGAACAGGAAGGTTTTGACCTGGCGCCAAAATGTCATCAGCGTCGGTGCCAGACGAATCTCAGTCGGGAGGGCATTCCATAGTCTGGGGGCAGCTGCCGAAAAGGCCCTTTGTCTACAAGACGTCCCTCTTACCTCCTCAAGGGACGGCTCTTTCAAAAGGGCCCCCTGGCTAGATCTTAACTGCCGAGTAGGCTCATATGGAAGGAGGCGGTCCTTCAAGTATCCCCCTTTTTGTCATCCTTCTTGTATTTTGCAGTGCATGATAGGTTCCTTTGGGGGGGAAAATGGATCCCCTTCTCCTTTCTTTCATTTTTGCAATGCCTGGAAACATACACATTTCAGATATAGGATATTCTTGGCCTAAACTTTCTCACTGGATTCTTTTTTCCTTCAACCCCAACTGAATAGCCTTTGGCAAGTCACTCACCTCCTTCCTTCTAAAACAGAAAGAAGTACTACTTCTTTCATAAGTCCCCCCACCAAAAAAAATCAAAGAGAGTTGCATGTTATTTACACAGTATGATGCAGGAGTGGGTGATGCCTTTATTAAACCACTAGAAAAATAAAACTCAATCTGAAAGCTTTCGTGGATCAAAGTCCCTGGTCTCTTGTTGATAGTGCAGGGAACTTAGAGTTCCAGAATTCATAGCAGATGGTTGTGCCACGTGTGTTTCTTCGAGGTGAGTTAGAAAAAGCACAGGCTGCATTGGAGGTGTGGTTTTCAAACTACATCTCAGGTAGCTGTTCATTGGATATCATACCCTAGGGCTCCAAACAAAGAAACCCAGTTAACCCAAGCTGTAGCTTGAAAACCACACCACCAATTCAGCCTGCACTTTTTCTAACTCACCGCTAAGGAACAAGCCTAGCACAACCATCTACAATGAATTTTTTGGGTCTCTAATTTCTCTGCACTATTGACAAGACACAAATTCATAGCAGACAATAATGGTATATATTGATTGTTATATCATGTCCTTATAAACCAGTGGTTCCCAACCTTGTGTCCCCAGATGCTCTTGAACTAAAATTCGCAGAAGCCTTCACCACTAGGTGTGCTGGTCAGGATTCTTGGGAGTTGTAGGGACCCAAGCTTGGGAACCACTCTTAGAAACCAAAACATCACATTGCGACCACATTCTGTGATTTACACGTGCTGGTACCCAGTGTGGCACAGTAGACAGAGCACAGGTTCCCAACCTATGTGTCATCACCCCCCAAGGGAATTACAAAGTGCTTTCAGGTGTGTGTGTGCTGAAATTATTTTTAGTTGCAATTATCTTTGTAGGAAATTTCACCACAAAGGCTTTCAATACTTATTTCAATATGGCTACAGTGCAATATCCAAAAGAGTTGGTTGGGAATTTTCATAGAGGGAGGTGAGGACCGATGACATACCTAAGGTCACTGGTGCGACTACTGATTGAAAAAAATCGATGTGCCTGTCCTGTCACAGAGTGGTAGGTTGCTGCAAATATGGTGGGGTGGTGGTGTAGCAGCTTACTTGGATAGTATAAAAAGGGGTCAAGACTCAAAAAAGGTTGAGAAACACTGAGATAGAGTGATGGACTAGGACTCAGGAGACCTGGATTTGAATCCCTATTGGGGCCTGGAAACTCACCTCAAAAGCCCTTTAAGAGTTGCTGTAAGTCAGTTCCCAGTGTGACAACTCAACAACCAACAATATTTGGACTGTACCATGTCCAGATTATCAAAAAGAGACTTACAAAGAAAAAGTCTGAGTAGCTGTTTATTATTTATTTATAGAATTATTTACAAAATTACTTCTATGATACATCATTTTCTCCCCAAGCCATTTTTGCAGTCCCAAGACCTCCCGGGAAATATATTTAAAAAGCCACCAGAAATGACTTCCTTAGTAAGTTATTACCAGTGAGAACTTTATTGACTTTTCATTAAATGATTTTCAGCAATTTTTAAAAATATACTGACATATTGCCACACTTGTTACCATATTTTTTAAGGCTGAATAAAATAGGTTGTAGCACTTTTTTTGTTTTAAGGAGAACTTCACATTGCTGAGTAATCAGACCTATTTTAATCTTTATTGAAAACAAAGCAAAAAAACAACGTGTGCTGCTTATACACCACCCCATAGTGCTTAAAAATTCTCTTCCTATGTAGTTTTGTGCTTGCAACATTTCTTTTCAGGAAAGCATTAGACAACATGATCCAGCATTTGTGGTATAAAACCATGCAGTCCCTTCCTCTCAAACTCTTCTTTTTATTTTATTTTCTTTTATTTTGCTTTATTTTATTCTTTCTTTTTACCTTGCAGGTCCCAAGCCAGCTTGCAACAGATGCAGCTGAAAAGCATAATAAATTGTATTTTTAAAAATTGTTAAGTAGAATATCATATTAGAAGCAAATTAATATAGTTTTTAAAAAAACACATTGAAACAGCAACAAGGGTACCCATCATTAAAAGACCCTTCCTCCCCAATCAATCAGGGACCAATGGACTGTCTCAATGAGGTTTATATGCTTGCCGGTAAAAGGGCAGCAGGGAAGGTGCCAACCTATACTCACCCAGAAGGAAGTTTGTTTGCCTGGGAGCAGCCATCAAGAAGGCCCTGTCTTGTGTTCTCACCAAACCTGCCTGCATAGATATAGACAGGCTCATATGGAAAGATATCACACAATTTTGCTGCCTGTACTGACTAAGCTTACACTTGGGCATTTTATTAGCCTACTTATATGGATCCATATAGTGTCGCATCTGTATAAGGATGGCCTTGCGATGTAACAAAATAAGTTCTCTGATTCAAATGGTGCTCTAAATGGAGAAGAACCGGATGAAACAGGAACTGGTATCTTGAAGATACAGCATCCTTTTCTAAATTATTTGCTGTGGCAAATGGGGAGTGCACTTTTGGCTCCATAACAGGTAGCAAAAATGAATTGGGTGGGTACTGGATTTATATTTGAAAAACATTATTTCTCGGATCAGAGAAAATTCAGATCAGAAAAAAAAATCCAGAAGACTGTAACTGCGAGCACCTGGTACACTTTTAAAAAGAGAAGGAAAGAAGGAAAGAACTTAAAGCACCACAAGTCAGCTTTAGTTGCATGTCAGGAAGATCGTCAAACTGGAAGAGCAAGCCTGCCACAGAATAAGCTGCATGGAGTCATTTGGTGTGTAGAATTTTTTGAGAGAGAAAAGTAGAGGCTTGGGCTGGGAAATACAAGGCTTCTAGATACACGGAAAGAGGTTGGATGTGTGTCGCTACACACACACACACCCCAATGCCCCCATTCTGTCAGTTCTGTTATACAGATTTGCTAGTTGGACCTAAGCCTGTTCATTGCCTTCTGGATAGCAATGCAAATGTGCATCTCGCACCTCAGTACTCTTTGTTTCTTTTGTCTTGTCTCAGGATGACCATGGATACATTTCCCGCGAGTTCCATCGTAGGTACCGCCTCCCTTCCAACGTGGACCAGTCAGCCATCACTTGCTCACTGTCTGCTGATGGCATGCTGACCTTCTCTGCTCCCAAGGTCCAGGCCAACGCGGACCCCAGCCACAGTGAGAGACCCATTCCTGTATCCCGTGAAGAGAAGCCCACTTCGGCTCCATCTTCCTAGGCCCAACCTCCTGTTGCTGATGCATCCAGGCTGTCACCACTTGCACGCCTCATTCACAGAGCCGTTACATAGATATCAGTGAATATCTAGAAGGATTTCTTCTTTTCTCCCCCTATCTTGTTCTGATTTTTCTCTCAGATGGGAAGGAGAGGCTGGGTAAGCAGCTGGAGGACTTTGAAGCTTAAACCTTTAAAAAACAAAACCAAAAAAACAAAACACAACCAGAATGACATGAAAGATGAAACATGCTGCAGAGACTGACGTACTTGCTGAAATGATCTGAACACTGTGCTAGATTGGAGGACATCTGCCAAGCCAAAACACAGTGGACAGCCAGGTAGAATTGGCTCTCAATGCATCAACTGTTAATGTTAAATTTGGTGCAGCAGAAGCAACATTATGGACTTGTTCTACCCTAAAATAATTAAGAGGCAGAAGCAAACGAGAGCTAAGCTGATTATCAGGGTAGAAGGAAAAACAGGTGGCACTTGTAAAGAACATGCCATGCACTCTTTAAACTACACACATACACACAAAAGAATAATAATCACACAGAGCGTTTAGAGGTTGTAGCATTTTTGTCAGCAATGTTGAGGTTTTCTTTAAAAAATCCATTTACACCATGTCCAATAGTGCCATCTTTTCTTAGTGACAGCTGATGCGAGGACAGGTGCGCCTCTCCATGATTTTTGCAGACCCTTGGTGGTCAGTCCATCAGCAGTGGTGAGGCTTCAATCCCCTACCGAGCTCTTCCCAGGCCTGCGTGTATCACACCATCTTCCTTAATCTTGCTGTACTTCTAACATAGCTCCACCTGTTTTACTGATATCTGGCACACAATCTGAGAACTCAGTCAGTGGCAGTCAATAAAGAAAACGTGAAACAAGCAATTTGTGGCTTTTTTCAGAAAAAAAAAAATCCAGTTCGACTCCCTTTTCATCCCAGATGTTTGCAGTTTGAACAATAGCGTGGAAACAAAGAAAATGTGACCCCATCACTCAAGAGCAACAATTTATCTTACAAATACCACCTCTTTTAACTTCCTTGTCTTCATATGAGTTTCTCCCTTTCTCTCGATTTTCCACAATGTAAGACTCAGAGAATCCAGCTCACAACACACATTAAAAGCAGATACATCTAAAATGACAGTAAATTATAATATTAAATGACAATTGAATATGCAACCCACAGTTTTTGTCTGCAGCAGAACAACCATTTCTACATAACCAAAAAGAAGTCCAACAGAGGATACAGATTTACACAGCCTTTGCATATTCTTTTTTCTATGCATAAATGAAAATTTATAAATTACTATAATTTAAATAGAAGTGCAGTACGACTCAGGGTACCCAGTGTGGTGTAGTGGAGTGACAGACTAGGACTCTGGAGGCCTGGCTTTTGGTCCCCGTTCAGCCACGGAAACTCACTGGGGCTGTGGAACTGGTAAAAACCACTCCTTAAATACATCACTTAGTTGAAAGCCCTATTGGGTTACAATGTCCATTCTGACTTGATGTCACATAACAGCAACAAACAGCACATATCACTGTTATGGGGCATACTATGACCCAATGGCCACTGGTGTGTTGCTTAAGCTGCTGGCTCGGTGCTAAGTATAGGTGGGCAACTCCATTGGTCATCCTTCTTAGGATTCTTTACCTTTGAATTGGTCTTGGACTGGGTGCCTTTTCAAATAGAGCCTTGGCCTCTGTGAAGTGGGGCACAACACTTCTGTAGATTTTCAGACAAAATAGAAAACATATTTATTTTGCAAAACAGCGGCAAACCATGGCATAGTTATTGGGAAACATAATAGTCAGCTGCAAAAGACGAAGAGGTCTTTAACCTTTTTTCTAGTCAATCTGATGGTGGGTGGAATGAAATGCACCAATTATTTCTAATGTCAACTTTAAAATATATTTTAAATTTGAGCAGCAGAGCTGAATAGGGAGTTGATTTCAGTGCTGAAAACAGTTTAAGATAAACAAATCTGCTGAAATACTTGTTGCTTACAGTCAAAGATTCCCATGAAACAATAGCATGAGCAAAGAAAAACTTACCCTGGAAGCATCTAATTACATTGTCTAATTACAAGAGTCATTGTGAGCCACATTCTCGCTAGCTATGTATCTTAGCTGCAGTTTGCCTTGCACATCTTGTATTGGGGTTGTAGGGCAGATCTGTTGAAATTAGTTCCCTATATTATCTTTTCAGTTCAGAAAGTTGAAATAACATTTTGACTTCTGGGGAAAATTACCCTTAGGTATTTATTCTTCAGTCTTAGCATGTCTAGGAACTGGACCCACATTTGGAATCAACAACAAAAAATCAGAAAGAAAGATCCTGAACAAGAAATTATAGTAACTATGACATGGAGGCACCTTTTACAGCTGAGTGAATAAAAAGAGATAACATTTTTAAAGCACTCTCTTCTTGATCATTCCTCAGTGCAGGACAATGGGCTCAAAGGAAGTCAGATTTCAGCTGAAAATCAGGAAAAACTTCCTAACTGTTAGAGCAGTACAACAGTGGAACCAGGTACCTTGAGAGTTGGTGAGTGCTCCGACACTGAAGGCATTCAAGAAAAACTTAATCACCTGGCAGATATGCTTTGATTGTATTCCTGCACTGAGCAGGCAGTTGGACTTGATGGCCTTGTAGGCCCCTTCCAACTTCACTTTTCTATGATTCTTTGATTCTAAATCCAGTTGTAAAAACTGCAGCAGGATTCTTAATAAAAAACTGTTGCATTCAAATCTTTTTTTAAAATATCTTGGCTTAAAATGAAATGTAAGTTAAATATAAACATTTTACATACTTGTAGTATAGTCACCAGAACTGCCACCTTCTATCAAGCACATTCAGTTAAATTCAGCTTTTCTGCATAAAAGTGTGAGTCTGAGTATACCTAGCTTACATTTGAGGGAAAGCATTGTAACTAAGGGCATGGCTAGATGGGGGATTTTGGACCAATCAGGTTTGCATTTAAAAGGCTCTCATATTTTGTGTGATCTATTTTATGTCATTTTGTGGTGATCCTTCCATTCACGCAGGAGACATTTCTTCTTCCACAAGGAGGATTCAGAAAGCATTTTAGATCACTCCGTTTTCTCCCCCTTTAGATTGTTGATGCCACTCCAACCCTTCCCCCACCTTTTGTTGTGGCTGTCACTCTGTGGGCTACAGCGATTTCCCTTTTTCTGTTTGATGGAGTAAGCGGCATAGTGCTATAGCTAGCATGGATACTTCCTTACGTCTGAAATAGTTCTGTGTTACTTAGGAGAATATTTTAACAAAGAACTATGAGTGAAGGAAAACAGAGGTGAAGGTTTCTCCCTGCCTTTTGTACTATCACCACCCACTGCATAAGTCACAGGGTTGTTACCAAACGTCCAGTGATGACTTCCCAAGGGATGGCGTGGATGATAAGAGCTATTGTCCGATGCATATGGAGGGTGTTCAGTTGGGGAAGGCTCTCTACAGTTAATCTGTTTCCTGCCTTCAGGTGTAGCAGAAGATGCTGTCCCATCCCCAGTGCAGAAGGAAGTTACAGTAGAGAGAACATTGTTCCTGCATGTGGATTGGGAATTGGTGGCGTCCTTGCCACAGGCAGCAAAACAGAGAAATAGGCAGATGAACTCCTTAACCTGACAGTTGCTCCATAACTAACACCATAATTGATACTGTAAAGCTGAAATGTGTACAGAAAAGGCTAACCAAGATGGTAAATCCCCAAATACTTCTATTTTTTCCCGTTTTTTAAAAAATTTGTGTACACAGAAAGACACAAAGATGATTATCCCCATCCCTCCTTGGTTTTAGGAGACAAGTTAAAACCTGGCTGTTTTCACAAGCCTTTTATGGCCTTACTCCAGAGTAATCTCAAATGATGGAGGGCATACCACCAGGTTCTTAATGTGGGGGCAAGAAATCCCTGGAGGAAAGATCATCAGTGGTATAGAAGGAGACATTGTAAAAATACCAGGGGAAAAGAAGAGGGCCAAGAACTTTTTTTAAAAAACTGTCTCTGTTTTGTGAAAGAATGCATCTTGACTCAAGAATGCTGGGAAAGTTTAGCAAATAAGGTGGAGTGACCCTATTTAAAAGACCAAACAACTGAAACAGTATTGTCAGAGAAAGAGCCAGAAAATGGATGGAAGGGAGGACCAGCAAAGAGGAGTCAACAGAACCTGAGAGCCCTGACATCTCTGGTTAGAATCATTAACTTCATGGTTTTGAATGCCTTAGCTTTTCAGAGGGCAGAATAAACTAATGCTGGTGGAAGATCCAAAAAAGTGCTGTAGAAAGTATTGACGAAAATAAAAGTACAGTATATGCAAAATGGTTGAGGGTTGGGCACAGAGAACTGGAAAGGTGTAACTGGTGGAAATGGTTGAATGAAAGGAATCCTGGAAAAACCTAGAAAGACAAATACTGTTATCAGGCACAAACACCATATAAGACCACAGCATTATGATCACAAAAATTGTAGACAGTGAAGATGGATTATACGTAATACTAATTTTGTATAAGGATTTTGTACTTAGGAGAGGATCATGCTAATTGTAACCTTTCCTAGAGAAAAAATAACTCTGTCATTGTTTCATTTTTCATTTTTCTTTAAGAATTTTTGCCTTGGCCCTATTTTAATTTCTCCATTTGCCGCCTAGATTGGTGGTTTTTATCAGACTTGTAGCATGTTGTTATCAGTAACCCAAACCCCAAAAAATCTCCCAGAAACCCAGGGAAACAATTTAGATTGTTAACTATTTTAACTAAGGTTTTGGAGCATTGTAGTCTAATTTCATTTGTACTTCCAAGGCTAACTAGGTGGAAACAAAAGAAGCTCAGGAATGGAAGAACGATCCCTGGGGGAAGAAAGAGGGAGCTCAGAGATGAGGGATATAAAAGAAGAGTTAGAAGCAGCAGAAGGGGAACCAGAAGGAGAAGGGAAGAAGCTAGACAAGAATGAAGGGAAAGTGGGGACAACAACCCGGAGATCCTTAGAAAAAGGAGAATTAGAGGAAGAGGCAATGCAGTGGAGGAGCCAGGCAAGGAAGCCTACCTGAGAGAGCTAGTGGCTTCAGGGGAGATAGAACTCCA